TTAGAAAGTACCGAAACAGATGCAGTTAGTAAGTGATCATTGTTCTCAATTTGTTGCAAACAAGGTTATCTTTTACTTCATACTGCCCATGAGCCTCCACCGTTATTAGTTAAGGTTTTAATGATTTTTTTGTTTCTACAATATATAAGAGCATATAATTCTATCATAGCTTTTACTATATGAGTACAAAAATTGATTATTCTGTTCGAAATACATATATGTATTATTTCAAGATCCATTGTAAAAAGTATTAATCTTATTGGGTCTTTACTACCATGTGATGGTGAGCGAAAAAAGTTCTCTCAAATGTATATTTTTGATACAGTTAACGAGTTAAAAAATCGCCCAACTTCACTGAGTGGAGATGGTAGTGATGTCGTTTTGTTTTGATGTCATTTTTTTTTTAGAATTCAAAAACCTAAAATGACGTTGTTTCTGATGTGGCATCCACGTCAACATGATTTAAAATTTTCTTAACACCGACTCAAGTATATTTACGCAAAAAATAAGTTTAGGTATAAAATTCAAATAATTAATAAGTTTAAGAATGTTTAAACACGATAAATAAAATCGGGTATAGTTTAACATATTTTTATACTTCAGGTCGGAAATAGCCAATCTTCCGAAGCTTATCCAACAAATTAGTTTGCTTGTCCATCACAAGGGTTTGGTTGTCTATCTTCTCATTAATAGCTTTGAGTCTTTCCTGGTCTTTTGATCTTCAAAGTAACATATACTAATTTATTTTCGTGTCAAGACATGTTTATTAAATAGCATTTGATTATTTGTTACGCTTTTTAATTACCTTTGTAGTATACTAATCTACAAGCATTAAAAGACGTAAACAAAAATTTACACGAGTTGAAATTATAAATAACAATGAAAATATATTTACTATAACATAAAGTATAACACATATATTAATTGAAGGGGATAACTGGTGGTTTAAACACAAATTTAAAGGTGACAATAAATTTACTAAATCTACTTATATATACACCAAAAAAATTAATGTAATAATTTATTGGGGGAAAATAAATGCATAATTTGTACTCACTTAATGACCCGACCAAAGTAACCAAATCGTACATCCCAGCTTGTAATGCACCAGTACGAATAGCACAACCAATATGCTGCCCGACAAAATCTTAGTATTTACCTATTTAAGATTAAATTGACAAAAATATTTATTAAATTCAGTACTCTTTTTGATTTGAAATTAGTTTCATTTCTTATCTTGGTTTTAAGATATATGAAACCAAAAGTTGTGTTTATTAGTTTGTTTTTTTTATTTAGATTAAATCAGAAAATTGTATTCATTAAAATAGTTCTGGAAAGAGAGTTTTTTTTTTAAACTTTATTACTTTTTGTTTTTTTAATCAATAAAAAAGCATATATAACCAGGATGGAACCAATGAAAATATTTATTTTGTTTGCTTTATCTCTATGTCAATACTATCTAAGTACTAGTTAATTAGTTTATTACAATTTGGGTTGGTTTTGTTATATAAAAATTTGAACGTTTGACAAAGAAATTTTTAAACGAGCCATATATAAATTCAAAAGACTATTAAAACCTCAAAAACTAGATATAAATTCTGAAGTTAAAACCGAGTATTTTTAATATAATCAACAATACACACAAATAATATCTAAATAAACTAATTACTTGAATATAATATGATTTTATCGATATAATATAATTAGAATGATTTAAAAATTAAAGCTTATTTTTATATACAATCTGAAACAAAATAATTAAGAGAAATAAAGAGATAAGCTATCTATCTATATATATAAAATAGAATGTTTCAAAATTGCTAATTCGCGTGATTACGACACATGTCAAGTCAATCGATTAAATTTTAACACATGTTTAATGAGCTTTCAATTAGATTTTGACACAAAATATTAATAGTAAAAGAAAAAATACAATATAAACTTAATATAAAAATAAAAATAGTAACAAAAAACAACAAAATAAAGTAGAAAATCGAAATAAAATCATCCAAAAATTGGTAATTAAAAAAAAAAGAAAAAACTACTTAAAACAGGAAAAACCAAAAAAAAAAACAAAATAGCATTATTTCAAAGAAAATAATAAATACCATGGTCATTATTAAACTAAGTAGCTTAAAAAACTCTCAAACTTATCTTAAGGGAAATTGTTTCAAAAAAAATTAAGAAATTTATTTAAGTAGTTTCAAAGTTATTAACTCACCAAATCATCACACCTCTAAAAATTTTTTTAGTTAGATTTTAACATAATATATCTTATTACGTAAAAGAGAATGCTTCAAAGTTACTAACTCTCATGATCATGCCACATGTCAAGTTAATCAATCACATCATGACACATGTTTAGTAAATTTACAATTTGATTTCGACAAATAATATTAACACTAAAATGAAAAATTTATATTCGGTTTCTAATCCTAATTAAGAACGGCCCCTCTAGGCCAAATTAGGATTTGTATTGAGCATAAGATCCAATCCAACCTAAGCATATAGCACTAGGCCTCGAATCCATTCAGATTCGGGAGATCCGACATGATAGGCCACCTGTTCTCGGGTTACTCGTATCTGACAGCGTAAGCTACGCTGTCAGGCACAATGATATCGGAAACAGAGTGGTCAGGAGGAGGAGAGGTCACCTTCTATATGTCCTAGACCTAAGCTTGGTGATCCAGAAGGGTCAGGATATAAAGAAGAGTGACCCCCACAGGAACTCGGAGAGCGGAGTCATTCATTTAAGCAACCCTGGCAGCCCGGCCCCAGTATCGAGGGATCCGAACCAGGTATGAGTGAATCCATAAGCGGGAAACACTAATTTTTTTCCATTCGATAATAAGAATATGCCTTAGTCTGATTTGATTACTTATACCCTTACAACCCACGAGATTGCATCTTTCTTACACGTGTTAGGTGACAGTGACATTTCGCAGGAACCAAAGGGAAAAGTAGATGTTCAGCAAGCGCTATACCGCGCCTGAACCGCCGACCCAACCTGTACACTGAGGACGAAAGGGACGCGCTGAGAAACGGTCTCGTAGCAGTCAGAACATGCGAAAGAAAGTTGGTGAGACCGTCAGAAGTGTAACACAAGCACAAGATTCGAGTCCAGTCCAGTAGGGTCGTGGACCGATCCACCCGGTTCACTATCCGCAGATCGACCCGGTATACTAACACGGGTCAAATAAAATCTTATAAATACTTTAACCCTTCCAACGAGGAGAGGGACACATTTTTTTAGCTATCCTAAAGTTCAGAATATATCTCTAGATACTTGTGAGTCTTGGACGCTAGCACTTTATACTTTCTGGCCACTATTTTGACCATCTCTTCACTTCCTCTCTGTGTGAGCCAAAACTCGCACAACCAGAAATTTGTTTAAGGAAAACTAAGGGATCGGAAACTTTTAAGGTTTATCGTCAAGAACGGTAATATCGAAAGAAAGTTTTTCTTGCTGCGAAAAGTGTTTAGCTCTTATTGCTTAGGGTTGTCAAAGTTACAGAATGAATTGTATACATCGTCTATTTATACTAATTCTCTGAACCGCCTAGCCGAGAATCTCGGGAGAGATTTTCGGAATATTTCCTTATCGCCTCGTGCGGCTCACCGCCTTTGTATTTCGCCTAGGGTTTCTATGGGCTTCGTTCTTAAGGCCTTGGTTTGGCCCATCTGAACATCTCCACGGCTCGGCCCACTTGCCATTTGAGTCGAGACGTGATTTGGTCCACCTCACCGAGGCGTGGCTCGGCCCAAGCATGTTGAAGTGCGACTCGGCCCATTTCTCATGATACGGCTCGGCCCATCTATATTTCTTCACGGCTCTCCCCATTGGTCTGTCTTCACGGCTCTCCCACTTGGTGACCACGACTCTCCCACTTGTCTTGGTGACCACGGCTCTCCCACTGGTCCTGGTGAACACGGCTCTCCCACTGGTCCTGGTGAGCACGGCTCGGCCCCTGTTTGGTGGACGGCTCAGCTACTTTGTCTTTCTTCTATACTTAGTCATTTTGAGATGATTTTATCTGCTTGGGGTGAAAACCGACCCCAACAGTTAGCCCCCCAGCTCGTCAGTTTCGGAGGCGAGAATGACGAGGTCCATTACTCCTGACTGTAGGATAAACCACCGAGTCAAGCTATTGCGACTTAAGCCTAGGTGAGGTGTTTCGGGAATATAGATGCCGAGGCGTTCCCAAAGGATGCCGAGGATGCCGAGGCGTTTCAAGAGGGTGCTGAGGACGCCGAGGTGTTAAGGGCGAGGCGATTAGTATTGGCGAGCCGTGACGAGGCGATTTAAGAAGGTTATGCCGAGCCGAATAAATGGCGAGGCGTTTCGAGAGAAAGTTGGTGCCGAGGCGTTTCATTAACGATGAAGCGTTTCAAGAGAGAGTTGGTGCCGAGCCGTTTCATTAGCGACGAGGCGTTTCAAGAGAGAGTTAGTGCCGAGCCGTTTCGTTAACGACGAGGCGTTTCAAGAGAGAGTTGGTGCCGAGCCGTTTTGTTAACGACGAGGCGTTTCAAGAGAGAGTTGGTGCCGAGCCGTTTCATTAACGACGAGGCGTTTCAAGAGAGAGTTAATGCCAAGCCGTTTCGTTAATGACGAGGCGTTACTAAGGTAAGATGTCGGCTGAAAGCTCGGGTATCCCAACCGTTGGTCTTCCGAAAGAAAATTCCTGACCTATTGGCGCGTGCAACCGACGCAGTTCGAGCTAGCTAATTCACCGCGGATCCCACGCGCTGTTGGACGGTTTCCCGAGGTTCACACGGAATTCACGCGCTTTGGTTTTCCTATAAATAGGCGAGCTCCTTCATTCTTCCTCATTATCTTCAGACTCACTCGTTCTCACTAAAGGTAGCTCTCCCTTCTCTCTTCTTTCTCTCTCTAGTTTATTTATTTTCCGGCTAGGAGTTCTGAGGTCTCCGCCATTCCAGATCTTTTTCCGGCGGAGGTTCGCCGAGTCGTGCTGTAATTCCTGTATAAGTTGTAAATTATGCCGAGCCGCTCCGACGATTCGCTGGATTCACTCTTTCATTACGAGCCGAGCCGCGTAGATGTCGAGGCGAGAGGTACAACAGAATCTTCCGAGGCATCTGTTTCACCGACCCCTTCCAATCGTTCACCGACCCCCGGGATCCCGTTCCTGATGAAGATATTGATCACGCCGCACTCAAAGCCGAGGAGGAGGCATTTCCCTTTGCCCTATTCGAGGCAAAACGTGAGTTGGAACGTCTCATGGCGTCCCGAGGTGCTTCCACATCTGGGTGAGGGCCACGAGTTAAGAGGCAAAAGCCTGACCCGCCTGGCTCTACACTTTTCTCCCTTGAATCGTTCGAGGCGTTGAGGCATCGCTTCGGGATATCCGAGGCGGTGGAGTTTGTCGTTCCAGAGAAAAGCGACCGAGCCGACAAGCCTCTAGAGAATCACTTCACTTTGTACGAGGCATTTCTCAAACTTTGCTTTCTCTGGTTCCCGATCCCCGGAGTGATCCTCGAATATCTCTGGAAACACGGGATCTCGATTGGGCAAATCTTGCCGAGGGGATTACGGCATATGATCGGTATCTTAGTCCGAAGCTTTGAATGCGGGCTTGATATCGAGTTGAATCACCTGCTGAACTTGCTGGAAATCAGGAAGGCTCCGAAAGGAAATAGATTCTATATTTCCAACAAGGCGAAGCGACGGATCATAGGCGGTTTTCCCAGCAAGGACCAGTTTGGACTGAACGCTTCTTCTACGTCTTGGTGAACGAGGCGTCGGTCGGCGAGGATTACTTTCAAAGAACCAAGACCACTTGGGGACCACTTGGTAGCCGACCCGAAGCTTTGCCTTGGCTCGGAACCATTTTTTGGTATCCTCTTCCCTTACTGAATTTTTCCTTTCTTTTTTGCTTTGTTTTGCAGTTCGGAGCTTTCTTCCCCCGATTCCCGACGACCTCTTTACTGTTCGAGACTCTCTTTCGGCGCGGAAGGTTAACTGGAGGAAGAATTTTACCCTCGAAAGAGTAGAAAAAGCACGAGCCATCCTTGCCAGAGTCCCTGTCAGCTCTTCGTCCTCCAGTTCTTCAAGAGATACCCGAGAGAAGATGGTGATAATCACTCTCAGAGACAGGAAGAGGCGCGAGGAAGAAGAGGCCGCGAGACGAGCCGCCGAGGCGGCTCAAACGCAGACCAAGGCCGTCCCTCAGTCTGATCAGCCGAGCCGGGAAGAAGGCGAAACGGTCCGAGCCGTGGATGCAATCGTTACCGAGGCGGGCGAAGGAGGAGCAGCGCCCGAGCTGGAACCGGGCGAGATTATCCCCGAGGCGTCCAAAGATGATTCGGCGGCGAGGAGTAAAACTTCTTCAAACTCCGCAATCCTTGCCCTTCCCAAGTCGTCGAGGCCGCCGACTTCGGTTGTACAGAAGCATGACCCGAGCCGTAAGCGTTCGGCTGCTGACAAAGGGAAGGGCGTCGCCGTTCGAAAGGACGAGCCGTCGATGAAAAAACGCAAGTCGACTCCTGGTGATCCCGCCGGACGAAAGTTGGTTGTCGATGACCCTGACGCCTCGGCGGTGATGTTCGTGCGCGTCAATAATGCGAATACGCGTCTTCCTCCCCCAGAGAAGTTGAGGAGACCGAGGTCGTACGGCGCGATGGCGCAGCGCGGTACCACGGTAAACTCCATTTAATTTCTCTTATTTCCACGAATTATCACTAAGTGTTCAACGCATGTTGCTCCTTGCAGTTTAGCGGCCATCAACGAGCTGATGGCTGAATATGAGGCAGACCTGTCTAAGGTCGAACGCCGCTTTGACGAGGCTCGAAATAAGGAGGCGAGGAGAGCAAAAAGCGCCGAGGTGGCGTTGCTCAAAAGGCGTATTGAGGCCAAGGATGCTCTGTTCGAGGCCAAGGTCAAACGTGCGAAGAAGGAGGCGAGGCGAGAGCTGACCGCTAAGTTTCAGGAGCGCCTCGCCAAAGTGGAAGAGGGTCTGGCCAAGCTCGAGAAGGCCAAAACCGACGAGAACGAGCTGGGGCAAATCAAGGGTAACCTTGCGATGATTGCCGTTCTGAAGAAACCAGACGCCACAACGCTCGATGATGAGGAGGCGCAGCTAAAGAGCTGGGAGAGCGAATATGCCGACGACGATGCGTATGAGCGCATTGCCTCCGAGATTCGAGGTGAGCTGGTTTTCTCGCCCGTATCGCCGGACTCAGTCGACACCAGCTTTGGTAACGAACCGCTTGAGGAGACGGCGGCCAAACTAGGCGTCGCGGATCCGAACAAATCGAACGCGGGGACGCCGGCCCTCTCAAACCTCCTTGCCGAGTGCGAAACGCAGTCCGCGGCCTGATCTTCTCCATTTTCTCCTATTTTCGTCTGACATGCTTCTGTTCTTAGTATTTTTATCTGCTTTTTGAACTTGTATGTAACCAGTGCCTGGATGGCTTATCCACCTGACAATTGTCATTTCTTTTGCATTTGGTTATGTTATTTTCCCTTAGCCGTTTTCTGATTCAGTTGTCTCTAACGATCCGTGAGAATGTTTATGAAAACTGTTGGCTTAGAAGAAATTGTCAAGGATGAAATTTGTTGTGTCGAGAATGATTTTGATTGCTTCCTTAGCCGAAATTTTTGAAATTGATAGAAATACGGGCTAAGAGGTGAGTTGTTTTAAGGATCTCGTTTGGATTCTTAATCCTAAGCTGGGAGTTAGTTTTGTGGAGCGTTTTTCAGGTGATGCTGGAAAGTTTTTAAATGATAATGTCGAGGCAAATTTTTGCTGGCAATGCCGAGCCGTATTTAACGACGAGGCGTTTTTGCTGTGCATGGTGCCGAGCCGTGTAAACAACGAGGCGTTTTTGCTTTGCATGGTGCCGAGCCCTGAAAACGACGAGGCATTTTGTTTTTGATAACCAAGGATGATTTGGTAGTCTCATTGAATTTGACTATGGACCGGCGTTTCCGAGAGGATGAGTATGTTTGTCCGGGTTCTAAGAGTTCACTTCGGTTTTAGAGAAAGCGATGTAGTCTCGACTTATAATCTCGTGTGCGATAGTAAACCGTGGCGACCTGATACGTTTTTGGTCTGATATTTGTATAGCGCGCTTAATTTTTATCCGTAGAGGATGTAACTTGCACCCTCGTCCTAAGAAAGGTGGTAAAAGTCCGTTTAGAGAACTTTGTATTTGTTGTCCCGTTGTGGCCAGCAACGAGACGAGGCGTTTGGAGGCTTAGTTTGCTGAACTGAGACTGAGGACCAATAAAGGTCCGAGGTAATGATATCATGCCGAAGTGGTATGATTACTCGCCGAAGTGATGAGTGAAAGAATTAAAAAATCCGAGCTTGTTAAAATAAGTTGTCGATTTAGAAAGAATGAGAAACTAGCAAAGCGATAATGAATGAACTAGAAATCCGAGGTAAACATGAAATAAGTAGATGATTCAAAACGAGCTGAAAATGGGCCGAAGTGGCGACGTTCCTAAGATGGCAAGCTAAAATTGTAGAGTTTAAAGGAGGTATGTATATACGTACCCACTCCCCCCCCCCCTTTTTAGGAAGGGGGACAGCTGAACCCGTCCGAGGACGGGCTGCCTACGTACCCTTTGCAGGGATCAAGCCGTCCCGTAGTTCATGCTGGTCGTGCTGTAGCTTTAGTGATAATACTTCTTTAGATGCATTGCGTTCCACGACCTTGGAATCGCTTCGTCAGCTAGTGTCACGAGTTCGTAGACTCCTGGACGAACCACTTTTGTAACCTTGTAAGGACCTTCCCAATTTGCTCCGAGCTTTCCTGCGTTCTTCTCGGCAGTGTTTTGGAAGACCTTTCGGAGGACGAGGTCCCCTTCTTTGAATCTTCGACTATGTACGTTTTTGTTGTAGTATCTCGCCGTTGCTTGTTGATAGTTCTGGATTCGGATTAAGGCTTGGTCGCGCTTTTCGTTGATTAGGTCGAGCTCATCTAGCATCATTAAGTGGTTCGAGCCCTCCTGTCCTGGTAGAAGTCTTCGTCGAATACCTGGGAAATCCAGCTCGGGGGGAATCACGCACTCTGTTCCGTACCCCGGTGGCTCGGCACGGAGTTGTCCGATGAAACCTAAGGACTCCTTCGAGTTCGTCTGCCCACCGTCCTTCGAGCCTCTTTTTCAGACCGTCGAGGATCGTCTTGTTGGCTGCTTCGGCTTGCCTGTTCCCTTGAGGGTATCTTGGCGTAGATTTGCTTAGGCGGATTTTCCACTTCTCGCAGAAGGCTTCAAAGCGTGTTGAGATGAACTGGGATCCGTTGTCGGTGACCCCGTGTCTGCAGATGATATTTTTCCTGACGAATTGTTCGACTTGAACATCCTTTATGCTTGCGTAGGAATCGGCCTCGACCCACTTGGAGAAGTAATCCGTGAGGACGAGCAGAAAACGCTTCTGCTTTGAGCGATGTAGAGGTCCGACGATGTCCATCGACCATCTCATGAACGGATAAGGTGACGAAATTGACGAGAGCAACTCGGTAGGTTGATGAATTATTGGAGCGTGCCGCTGACACTTCTTGCACTTCGCCATAAATTGTTCGCAGTCCTTGACCATCGTAGGCCAGAAGTAGCCATGCCGTTTTATCTTGATAGCGAGCGACCTTCTGCTGGAATGGTTCCCGCATGCGCCGCTGTGCACCTCGTGCATGATCTTTCTTGCCTCCGGTCCTTTGACGCATGTCATGAGAGGCCCTGAAAATTTCCATTTAAACACCTCGCCATCGACGAGGACATACCGCGCGGCCTGAGCTTTTACTTTTTGGGCTTCCCATTTGTCGGTTGGCACTTCTCCATCGGCGATATACACTCGGATAACTCCAAGCCATTCTTTGTCGCAGCCGTATTCCGGCTCCGCTGGTGAGGCGTCTTCATCCATAGGAATGGCTTCGTCGTCCTCTGGTTCTTGTTCAGGAGGATTTATCAGCCGAACTCCTCCCACCTCTTCGATGCTAGGACGTTCGATGAATTCGACTGGGATCGTCCGTCGGAGGTCTGGGTCCGAGGTCGAAGCGAGTGCCGCCAAGGCGTCGGCCGAGGTGTTTTCTCCTCGGGGGATTCACGTGAGTTCGAACTCGTCATACTTTTGCACCAACTCTCGGACCACCTTGTGGTAGGCTCCCATTCGTCCGTCCTTCGCCTCGTATTCTCCGTTGAACTAGCATGCTACGAGCTGTGAATCACAAAAAGTCCTTATCTTTCGAATCCCGATTCCCTGCGCTAGTCGTATGCCGGCGATCAGTGCTTCGTATTCTGCTTCGTTGTTCGAGGCGTGGAAGTTCAGGCGAAAAGACTGCTCCAATATTTCTCCGGTGGGAGAGGTGAGACGGATTCCTATTCTCGAGCCGTGTTTAGATGACGAGCCGTCGACGTGCAGCGTCCATACTTCATCTAGAGTCGGCTCGTTTGTTGCTTCGGCTGGAAGTTCAATGAGAAAATCTGCGAGCACCTGTGACTTTGCAGACGACCTGTTCCGATACTCGATGTCGTATTTGCTTAGCTCTATGGCCTACTTGGCAAGCCGACCGGATTGGCTAAGGCTGTGTAGGATCGAGCGCAGCGGAAGTGTAGCGAGCACAACAATCGAATGTGATTAAAAATACGGGCGCAGTTTGCGAGTCGAGACTACGACGGCTAGGGCGACCTTCTCGATCTGGGGGTAGCGGATCTCGGCGTCGGTCAATGTCTGGCTGATGTAGAAAATGGGTTTTTGCTCGGATCGTTTTTCTCTGATAAACACTCCGCTTACAGCTGTGGCAGACACTGCGACGTAGAGTAAGAGCGGCTTTCCTTCGACTGGTTTTGCTAAGATCGGTGGGCTCGCCAGATAATTCTTCAATTCCTGGAAAGCCGCTTCGCATCGCTCGTCCCACTCAAATTTCTTGTTTCCTCGGAGGGTGTCGTAGAAGAGCACGTATTTGTCCGTGGAACGGGAAATAAACATGTTTAGTGCGCGCGACTCTTCCTGTGAGCCTTTGCACTTCGCGCTTCGTCCTTGGAGAGGGCATCTCAATTAACGCCTTGATCTGCTTGGGGTTTTCTTCTATGCCTCGGTGAGTTACCAGATAGCCGAGGAATTCTCCCGAGGTGACCGCAAATCTGCACTTCGCCGGGTTTAGTTTCATGTTGTGCTTGTTCAATTGCTCGAAGCATTCCTGTAGATGCGCGACGTGGTCTTCCTCCTTGAGTGATTTGTACACTTCCATGGTTTTTCCGAGCTGAGCCGCGAACATTTTATTGACGAGCCGTTGATACGTTGCTCCTGCGTTCTTGAGCCCGAACGGCATGACTTTGTAGCAGTATATCCCGCGGTCAGTTATGAACGCCGTTTTTTCCCGATCATCGGGGTGCATCAGAATCTGATTGTAGCCTGAAAACGCGTCCATAAATGTTAACAGTCTATTTCCTGCAGTGGCTTCGACGAGCCGGTCGATGTGCGGCAAGGGAAAGCTGTCTTTTGGGCACGCCTTGTTGAGGTCAGTGAAATCCACACAGACCCACCACTTGCCGTTCTTCTTCTTCACGACCACCGGATTTGTGAGCCAGTCCGGATATTTGGCCTCGGCGATTGATCCTACTTTGAGTAACCTCTCGACTTCGTCGTTAACTGCTTTAGCTCGTTCGGGGCCGAGCTTCTTTTTTTCTGCTTGACTAGCTTAAAGGTCGGATCCACATTCAGCTCGTGACAGGTTACGTCGATGCTTATGCCCGGCATATCTTCCGCTGTCCAGGCAAAAGTGTTGATGTTCTCCTTGAGGAGGGAAAAGAGTTCGCTTCTCAGAGGCTCTTCTAGTTTTATTCCAATTTTGACGCATCGCTCCGGACGTGCCTCGTCTATGCACACCGAGTCCACTGCATCACATACCGGCTCGGCGCGTGTTTCGCGGCTCTCCGCGATCTGTAATTGCTATAGGAGTTTCGAGAGCTCGTTCGCAGGCTCTCGGTCTGTCTTCATCTTTTTGTGGTCTATGTCTGCTCGTGCGTCGGTGACGGGGTTCCTCAGCTTGTGTTCGGCCAGGCAGCACATTCGTGACTCCTTCTGATTCCCCCAGATCGTTTTGACACCTGCTGGAGTTGGGAACTTGAGGCAGAGATGATAGGTGGAAGGTACCGCCCTCATCCCGTTGATCCATGGAGTTCCCATGATCACATTGTAGATTGTTGGGTGATCAGTGACGCAGAATTCGACGATCTTAGTGACTCCGCCAGCTACCACAGGAAGCCTGATCGTTCCCATAGTCATCGTTGTTTCTCCTGAAAATCCGGTTAGAGGTTTGGGGATTGCTTCCACCTCGGAGAGGTCGATTCCCATTCTTCTGAGTGTTTCCCTGAAGATGACGTTCACTGAGCTTCCAGTATCGATGAGCACCCTTGCTACGCCATGATCCCTGATTGTTAACTCAATCACCAACGGATCGTTGTGAGGTCGATCGATTCCTGCCGTTTCCTCCTCGGCAAAAGAGATCACTGTGTTTGGGATGTCGGTTGGTTCTGTCCAATTCTCCTTTCCTTCGGCTCGGCGCTGATAGGCTTTGATGGAGGACACGGTATCTTGGTAGTATTGAGATCCACCCATGATCATATTGATCCTTTGCCTCGGCTCGGGTCGCTCTTCGGGTTCGCCTCTCCTGTCGCGCTTGGAGTTATCGCCTCGTCGGGGAGGATTCGCGGGTTCCGCCGCGCCGTTCAGCTTGGCTCTTTCTTGTGGTTCATTAGGGACGAGGTCTTTGAGGTTGACCGCATTTTGGAGCTCTCCCGCTGCCATCTTAGCCGCGAGTTTTGCTCCTAGAGTTTGGCATTGTGCCGTTGAGTGGCCGTAGGTCTGGTGATACTCACAGAAAGCCTTCTCGTCGTAGTTGGCGGACTTTCTCACCCAAGTGTTGTTGCGCGGCTCTCCTCTTCCGCGTCTGGTGCCTACCTGATAGTTATGGGCACCTCCGCTTCTAGATTCATCCGAGCTCTGCATTGTTGTGTTGTTCGATGGGTTGCCCTTTTTCGCGGGCCGCGGCAGAATTGAGCTTCGGATTGCTGCTTTCGTTGCTTCGTACTGCTCTTCCAAGTTTTTCATTTCCTCCTCGTTTACGAAGAAGTCTGATGACCGGTGCAAAGCGTCTTGAATTGTTTGCGGCGTGTTGAGAGCCATCTCCCGTCGGAACTCGGATTTGTACCACAAAGATCGTTTCAGAGCCTCGAAGCAGCCTTGTCGCTTATCCCTTCTATTTTGGATACGACTGCCTTGAATTTTGCCATGTAATCCCGAAGCGGTTCGTTCGGTCCTTGGGATAGTGTCCACAGGTCGGCATCGGATGTTCCTCTGTCCATAAACATCGAGTATTGTTTAAGGAATAAGGCGGAGAGCTGTTGAAAGCTGCCGATTGAATTGCGTTCCTGTCTTGAAAACCACTCGAGCGCGGCGCCCTTAAGATGCTCCACGAAGAGCAGGCGGTATCCGGCATCTACTTCCCGTTCGGTCAGTTTAGCGGCGGTCTTTGTGAAGGCCCGTCCGATTTCTATCTGAAACGCTGTGATGTGTGTTTTCGGGTCGGTTGTTCCTTCGTAGAACAGGATTCTCACTTTCCCGGGCTCGGGAATCTTTGCCTCCGTGATTCTTGCCGTGAATGGAGTTCTCTGAGTTTCTTCAAGCATTCGGTCGATTTCGGGCGCGGCGCTTGTTGCGTTGTGCACTTGGGACTTCATGGCGCGTATTTCAGCTACCGTCCGAGCCATCGAGGCTCGCAGCTCTTTGAGTTCGAGAGTTTGTGCGTGAGTCATTCCCTTTGATTGGGGGGCTCGCTCTCGTTCCTCTCTCCTCGGCTCGTCTTCGCGCTCTGCCTGCTCGATCCACTGGAGGTTTTCTTCCTCCTCGGTTGGGTTATCGCCGCGAGTCGGATCGGAGACCTCGTCAGTTCGAACGCCGTTTAGTGCCGAGGCGAGCTCTTCTTGACTTATTCGCCGAGCCGAGCCGGTTTGTTGCGGATTCGTGGTTCCGTCGTTCTGATGGGTGTCCACGTCGATCGTGTCGTTTTCTTCTTCGCCGGCTCGTCGCCTTAAGTTCCGGCGGAGAGGGGGCGGCTCGGTCATGTTGACTCGGGTCGCCGCGGGAGTCTGTTCGTCGAGGGCACGAAATATTGGAGGAGCCGAGGGGTTTCTTGCGCCGCTCCCTGAGGCTTCTGCAGGTGTTGAGAAATCGAAGCGTCTCCGGATTCCATCCATCGGGTCGGGAATTCCTGCTCTCCAAGTTGGGTGTAGTCGCTCAGCCGCCATCGCGTCGAGCCTCTCCGTAATCGCCTCGTTTCTTTTGTCCTGCTCGTCGATTTTCTTCATCAACGCAGCCATCATATTTCGCATCTCCTCTTGGGTTTCGGTCGTCGCCGTCGTTGTGCCTAATGCTGGAGCGTCCTTCTCCGCACCGTTGTCGTTGTTGTTGTTATCGTCGAGGGTGTTGCTCGCCATGTTCTTCGGATCTTAAAGTCTTGTCGATTTAGAGTAAGAAAATTTCGATTCCCCACAGATGGCGCCAAATTGTGTGAGCCAAAACTCGCACAACCAGAAATTTGTTTAAGAAAAACTAAGGGATCGGAAACTTCTAGGGTTTATCGTCAAGAACGGTAAGATCGAAAGAAAGTTTTTCTTGCTGCGAAAAGTGTTTAGCTCTTATTGCTTAGGGTTGTCAAAGTTACAGAATGAATTGTATACATCGTCTATTTATACCAAGCATGTTGAAGTGCGGCTTGGCCCATTTCTCATGATACGGCTCGGCCCATCTATCTTTCTTCACGGCTCTCCCCATTGGTCTGTCTTCACGGCTCTCCCACTTGGTGACCACGGCTCTCCCACTTGTCTTGGTGACCACGACTCTCCCACTGGTCCTGGTGAGCACGGCTCTCCTACTGGTCCTAGTGAGCACGGCTCGGTTCCTGTTTGGTGGACGGCTCGGCTACTTTGTCTTTCTTCAATACTTAGTCATTTTGAGATGGTTTTATCTGCTTGGGATGAAAACCGACCCCAACACTCTCCACGGTGGTCCCTAAGCCATTGAGATTTTACACCTACAAACTCTTCTCTTCTTCTCTTTTTCACTACAAAAAGCCCATCATCGCTAAAGGTCCGAGTTGATTCCACCATTCTCAGGAACACTCGGCCCACTTTCATTCTTTAGTTTTCCGATCTCTTTCTCCTCTCTGATTAGCCACTTAGAGGTCTTTTTGGTTGTTTTCTGACTTAAGCATCGGAGAGCCTTCGGAAAACACATCCCCATCATATTTTTTGGGCCTTCACGTGTTTGTCGGTTTTGCAGGAGACTTGCCCCACAAAAGACCAAAAATCCTATAAACAAAATTAAAGAATGTAATTTTAAAAAGAAAAAAAAAAATTCATCTCTAAATAAACATTTTAATAATTTGGTACTAATTATTTCACAAATAATTTAATATAATTTTTAATTTTATCCGGAAGTATCACATGACCATCAGCGGCATTATCGAGAGCCCTGATAGATCCGAAAGTACCTGCATGGCGTTCAACAGTCCCCAGGAAGAGGGGACGAACTGGCTGGGAGATATGGATACCAGGGTACAGTAGTACCCGAAGAGAGTGGGGATAAAACCGTGAAAGTCAGCGGCCGCATTAACTCGGTAGACCCCCATAAAACCCGCCAGAGGATTACGATAGTCACCGGGTTGACGAGGAAGAGTTAAAGCGTCATCTCAGATCTCGCCAAGGGATAGATAATGTATAAAGACGGGATTGTGAGAAAGAGGATCGTTTGGGGGCAGCCATGGAGACGAGAGACAGAAAAGGCGTAGAGGTTAAGAAGGCAAGGAGGTCCTGAGAGGGGCGAAGACGAGAAGACAGGAAGAAGGGGAGAAAGATTAAGACGGCAAACCTGTGTGGGGCTGTATATATAGGAAAGCCGGAATAAGGGCAGACAAAATGCCAAAGGTCATGCGATCTTCAAAGCAAACAATAAAGAGCCCACAGGGGCAAACATGAATTAACTAATAAAGAGAAACGGTCAAACGACACGAATCGGAAGGGAATCGACAGTTGAGATGCGTCAAGTAGACGCGATGCTGATGGCAAAGTGACCACGAGTAGATGTCCCATCACATGCGAAAAGAAAACAGCTGGGAGCAACACCTTTCAAGGGTAAGAGAGAGCCGGTCGCTACACTCACAAAAAAGACAGGAGGGGCAGGCCTAAGAGGCACATGCGAGTTCGATAAAGAGACTCATAGATAAAAAGCCCAAGAAAGGGCTGGCCCAATCGAGATCCGATAGCAGGGAATGACCCGGGGAGCTGGAAGAAATAATTTTCCACAAAGGAAAACCTTAGGAGGAAGATGAACCCTAACGAGAGAAGACCGCTCCAAGGAAAAAAAAAATCCTCAGAGAAGCGAAGACATAGAGACAACGGAGCGATGTCTCGGTGAAGAGATGGGAGAGACGAACCAGTTGGAAAGAAGAAGGCAGTGAGACTTGCCCCACAAGAAGACCAAAAATCCTCTAAACAAGATTAAAATGTTATTTTTAAAAAGAAATAAACTTTTTTTTCATTTCTATATAAACAGTTTAATAATTTGATACCAATTATTTTACAAATAATTTAACATAATTTTTACTTTTTGTTTATATTTTTTTATGGGTTAAACGACTCAATACCCATGGATGAAAGATTAATTGAAAAAATGGGAAATATAGTTTATAAACGAATAAAATATAATTTGCGAAAGTCGTGGTATCCAAAAATGCCTCTACCCCTACTAAAAGAAGTTTTTGCACAAGCATTTAATGCTCATTCCTCTAGAAGCAACATAAAATATTAAAATACAATTGATATCTTGAAGAGATCATGCGCCGTCCAACCTCTTAATCTCAACCGTCCATTATTTGTGATAGTATCTGGAAAAATTATCTTAAAAAAATTATCTCAGTTGATGTAAAAAACTAAAACCCCAGATTTACCTTTTATATTAATGGTGATAACATTGGTTGTCTATATAACCGTTAACAAAACTTAAACGTAGAGAGATAAAAGACTTAGGAGTTAATAAGTGCAGGTGTTTCAGTTACTGAAGCTAGTGGTGGAGCCCTAAAAAGCAGTTATTGGTAACCTTTTGTGTATTAAATAACACAATTTTCTATGATGATCTTTATGATATCTTAAATAGTCTGAATGCTGTCTATATTTTTAGGTTTTTTTGTATGAAATGTGCGCTTGAACATGGAATAAAGATGATGTTGGGAAATGAGATCATATAGCTGATGCAGTTAGCGATAACTGTGTTATCGCATTGAAGAAGAAAGATACTTTTATGTCTGTCTAGGGATCTATAAAAAAGACCTACTGTTACCAGATAATGATGTCGAAATAACATACCAATGGCTGCAGTGGATGCTGGGAGCCGAAGGGAGAAGAAACCATTCAATCTACATCGTCGATGATGATGATACGACCTTGTTTTTGGCCATACAGGCAGACTTGGAAGAGGTGGTGCTTCGAGTTCGAGTTATCCCATTGGGAACTGAGAGGAACGTGAACTCGTACTCAACTACTGTGAATTTGGATCGACAAATACCTGAGTGTGGCGGCAGTTTCAAATCCAAGGGAAAATGTGCTATACCCTGACGCAAGTGGCTATGGGAAATATAAATCAGTCATGGGTACTGATAACATAGTTGTCTTTTTTAGTTGTTATTGTATAACTGAATGAATTTGATAATAATGTTGACAAGTAACTTTTTGGCGCCAACATTCACAGCTATTCAAAACCCAGGGAAGGGTGGTTGGAATTTTTAGTTAAAATTAATAAATCTTGAAGTTGTTTGGTTAACAGAGTTAACTGGTAACGACATAAGTTATGTAATAAATTTTGTTATCGGATATGTTGTGTATTGTTATCAGAGGGAGCTGATCCTTGGTCAAACGCTAATATCATATTCCAAAATGTTCAGCATATAGGTGACTGGAAATTTTAAATAGTTTGTTAACCGTAGACCCGTTCCGTCTATTTATGTTATCAGCTGAGATTGTATATTGGTGATTTTGTTTGCAGATAACCTGGTTGATCGGTTAATGACAAACGTAACCGCAAATATGCCAATTAACCTCAGTTTGGAGGTGACTTCGAAGGACAACATACAACACATCCAGCCTACAGATATCACTCTTTCTTCGATAACTGTGTTATCAGCGACCCATTATTTCAGAGCCTCTAGCAGAACTTTGTTGTTCTCTTGAAGAATACCGCAGAAAATCCTGCTGGATGATATCATGCTCTGATAATTTTGCATCATTGAGTTCTAACAACCGAGCTTCTTCCAGGTGAGAACTAGAAGTGCTGGTATCTCTCTCCTTACCATAGTGACTCTTACAGATATCACTCTTTCTTCGATAACTGTGTTATCAGCGACCCATTTTGTCAGAGCCTCTAGCAGAACTTTGTTGTTCTCTTGGAGAATATCGCAGAAAATCCTGCTGGATGATATCATGCTCTGATAATTTTGCATCATTGAGTTCTAACAACCGAGCTTCTTCCGGGTTAGAACTAGAAGTGCTGATATCTCTCTCCTTACCTCAGCGACTCTTCTCCGAAACAGTATTGCCACTGACACCTCTCCTCGTCTTGGCTTGGAAAGCTATTTCAGATGGATTTTTCCCTCCAACAAACATATCACTCTTGAATTTGAGGTCTTGAGAAATGAGTTTTAGCATGTTCTCAACCTTGGGATCAACATGATCATCCTCCCAACTAAAATCTTCCTCCTCGGGGTCAAACACAATCTCTAGTCGAATGATATTGAAAACGTGATCCTGGAATAATGAACAAACAATTTGTCATTCATATAGAGTAACAGGGAAAATAATTGAGAGTATATATACATCCCATCGTTATATCAATGAAACAATTGTTATCAATTATTTTTGATTGCGTATTAACCGCTTTCTTTGGCAGTAGATTTGGTTATCTGATAAATACCATACATGTAAATTAACCTATACACATCACCGCTATAAACATAAATAACATGGTAACTACATTATCTGTATTACTTCTCTACAGAAGCTAACCTTGTTAGCGTTTATGCAGGTTATCAAGTCTTATAAACCTATTGGTAACCACTATAACATCACTATCTTAATACCATTTGTGAGAGGTATTTTTAAAGAGAATACACGTACCTTACAAGTTTCGTCCATCTTGTGAGCATGATTAAGCTTCAGTTGGAGATGGTGACGCTGTTGAGGTATGAAATCATCATCTG